ATGTACGTACGTAATGCATGTATGTATGTATGTACGTATGTAATGTATGTATCTATGTTTGTAATTCAATGTAACAGAACGTACTGCAATGTATGTATGGTTGTATGTATGTATGTGTGTATGCATGCACGCACGCACGCACGCACGTATGTATGTATGTATGTATGTATGTATGTATGTATGTATGTATGTATGTATGTGTGTACTGTATGTATATATGTATGCATGTATGTAATGTATGTATGTATGCATGTATGTATGTATGTATGTATGTATGTATGTATGTATGTATGTATGTATGTATGTATGTATGTATGTATGTATGTATGTATGTATGTATGTATGTATGTATGTATGTATGTAATGTATATATGTAATGTAATGTAATGTATGTATGTAAATATGTATGTATGTATGTATGTATGTAATGTATGTAATGTATGTATGTATGTATGTATGTATGTATGTATGTATGTATGTATGTATGTATGTATGTATGTATGTATGTATGTATGTATGTATGTATAATGTAATGTATGTATGTATGTATGTATGTATGTATGTATGTATGTATGTATGTATGTATGTATGTATGTATGTATGTATGTATGTATGTATGTATGTGTAATGTATGTATGTATGTATGTATGTATGTATGTATGTATGTATGTATGTATGTATGTATGTATGTATGTATGTATGTATGTATGTATGTATGTATGTATGTATGTATGTATGTATGTATGTATGTGTATATGTATGTATGTATGTATGTAATGTATGTATGTATGTATGTATGTATGTATGTATGTGTGTATGTATGTATGTATGTATGTATGTATGTATGTATGTATGTATGTATGTATGTATGTATGTATGTATGTATGTAATGTATGTATGTATGTATGTAATGTATGTATGTAATGTATGTATGTATGTATGTATGTATGTATGTATGTATTGTATGTATGTATGTATGTATGTATGTATGTATGTATGTATGTATGTATGTATGTATGTATGTATGTATGTATGTATGTATGTATGTATGTATGTATGTAATGTATGTATGTATGAACTGTATGTAGGTATGTATGTATGTAATGTAATGTAATGTAATGGCATGTAATGTAATGGCATGTAATGTAATGTAATGTAATGTAATGTAATGTAATGTATGTATGTATGTACTTATGCATGCATGTATGTATGTACTTATGCATGTATGTATGTATGTATGTATGTATGGAATGTATGTATGTATGTATGTATGTATTCATGTATGTATGTATGTGGTTTGTTTGTTTGTAGTGTACGTAATGCACGTATGTTATGCAATGTTATGTACTTGAATGCAATGTATTGTGTTGGAGTGAAAGTTGTATGTATGTATATAATGTATATATGTATGTATGTAATGTATGTAGTGTGTGAATGTAATGTAGTGTAATGTAATGTAATATAATACAATACAATGTTCTGTAGTCTAATGTAATGTAATGTAAGGTATGTATGTTTGTCTGTCTGTATGTGTGTATGTATGTATGTAGGTATGATACGTATGTATGGAATGTAGGCAAGCAGATATGTAATGTTACATTGTATTGTACTGTAGTGTAATATAATTAAGTGTAATGTAGTGTAATGTAATCTATGTAACGTAGTGTAATGCAATGCAATGCAATGCAATGTAACCTGATGTATGGCAATGTAAGGTACTTAGAGTATATACGTATGTCATGTAATGCAATGCAATGCCATGCCATGCCTTGCAATGTATGTAATTAATATAATGTAATGGAATGTAATGCAAAGCAATGTAATGTAATGTAATGTGTGTATGTAATGTGATGTAATATGATGTAACGTAGTGTAGAGTAATGTAGTGTAGTTTAGTGTGATGCATGTCATGTATTGTAATGGCAGGCAATGCAATGCAATTTTAATTCAATGTACCGTAACTTAATGTAACCCAATGTAGTGTACTGTGGGGTAGTGTATGTACGTTTGCTTACAGTTTTTGTCTGTTTTGGTAGGTTTGTGTTGCGCTGTTTGCTTGCTTGTTTGTTTGTTTCTGTGGTTTGTTGGTGTGATTGGTTTGTTTTGCTTTGTTTCGCTCCGTTTTGTTTTGTTTGTTTGTATGTGTGTGTGTCTTAATGTGGATCTGCATCCTTGACACCTTGACGGATAGAGCTTCTTGGTAGTGCTTGGCATGGAGTTGCGACATGGTGATGTTCCTTCGGAAGGCAAGTCAAGGCTGCGCACATGATGGAGGCATGCCCACACTCTGCCATGGAATGGGGCTAGCAGCTTCCATGCCGTTCCCAGGCAAGCACTTTAGTTGTTCTTTCAGGATCCAAGATATCTGGGTGAGAGGTTTTGAGGGTGCCCTCTTACCTTGGTTTGGAAGAAACCGCCACTTGGGGGCGTCCTTACGTTGACACCACCTCAAGGCGAAGTGCAAGGCTTGGTCGCTAAAACCTTGGGAGGCCTGCTGGGT